AGTAGTAATCATGTACCTTTCTTTGTCACATTTTTTTGGATATCATCCCCTAATATAAATTCGAGATTTCAATTAAACAATAACTATTATAAAAACCTTTTTTTTATTAATAAAATTTAGCAAATTCTTAATCTTTCATCAGTTGCCTTAATATTGAATATTTTCATTAAATTATTAAATCGTATTAGAAAATGAATATATAATTTTTTATTTTAATCGAAATAGCATTAGAAAAATAAATTTTTATTTTAACTTTAAGTCTGTCCATCTCTTCCTATTTATTTCTTAAATCGATACTTTTGTTTTAAATGCATTGAGTAATGGAGGAAAAAAAATATTAAGGCGGCATGCCAATGACATGACAATTAAGATTTTGTCTGAAAAAAAACCATTAACCTAAAAAAACTATTTTAAAAAGAGTGAAACATAAAAAATTTTAATATTTTTTAAAAAATTCGAAAATCCCAGTTAATTATTTTTATTAGCGGAGTTAGAAAAAGTTTTTACAAGGTATTTGTCAGAGACCTGCAAAGCTTTTTCATGGCCTGACCCGGATTTCCTTATAAAAATTTCGGCTCGGCCTGAATTATTTTAAAATATATTACATTTATTCAGAATTTTTATAGCTAAATAATGGGGATTTAAAATATTCGATTTTCGACCCAATGCTTTTTTTTAAAAATAGGCCCGGCCCAGGTATATTTAGAAGACAGGCCTCTCCGGTATTTATATTTCTTAAGTGATTGGACACAATATATATTATTAGTTATAGAAATTAATTAATATTTTCGTGATTTGCTTTGGTGAATCGTGACTTAATAATTGAAGTCTTTGATGGAAAAATTAGAGAAGATATATATTGTTGATAAATTATAAAGTATATAAATGGTAGCATATGCTAAGGACACTTTCAAATCTCACCTAGTGACACCACTGATTGATAATATCAAAATATTGATAAGCTAAATCATTATTAATTAAGAGCAAGATCTAATTTTAAAAAAAAAATCTCCATAAAACATTTAAAGTTTTTTTTGAATATTTTTTATAATACAAAAGATATATGATTGTTAATAAGTTTGACTTTTGAAAAAAAATATTATAATTTCTAATCACTGTTTTAAAATCATATAATAAATTATTATAACATATTTATAATAGTAATGCACGCATACACAATGATAAATATATTTCTTTTCTTCTTAAAATACACCTTATTTATTCAGTGATATTTTAATGTATTATGTATTACACAAATAAATGTTTGGGGAATATATAAAGAAGTGACTATTCTCTTTTTAACTATTTATAATATATATTTGAGTAGTATACTTTATATTATTATGATTTTTAAATATATTATAATTTAATGGTAAATATTTTATTATTAGTTAAAGGTCAAATAATGTTAGAATCGCAATGTTGTTATACAAAGATACTTAACTTTAAAAAAATGTAAAATAACTTAAATGAATATAATAAAAAATGTTTTATACAGAAATTTATCCTTAAAGTTTTTAAATGATACATTAATAATCTTTGTTTTACAATTTTTTCTTTGTATATTTAATTTATTTTTCTATTATCTTTTTAATCCTTTTTAAATCAAATTTGTTTTTTAAAATATTTATTCAAAATGTTTAGAATTTAGAAATGTAATATATTTAACATTTTATTTACTACATCTATGATTGCAAATATTAAATACAGATTTAACTCGAATGTCGAGATATATATTTTTTACCACTAGATGCTCTAAGTAAGTCGGATGGTTAGACTCGACCTGGTTAATTAACGATGCCAATCATAAGGCCAGTTCTTTCCATTCCCTGACAGCAGTTTATCATAATTATTAACCTCATAACTTTTTTCAACATAATCTAAAAAAAGGTTCAGAATATGTAAAATTATAATATTTACCCAATTAATGGAGCCAAATTTCGATACCCAACTCAGAATCCCTGGCCAAACATGTCTCTCATTTACATTAAATGGTTGAGAAAATTTAAATAATCGCTTATAATGATTTGTTTTAGAATAAACTTATATAACTCTTTTCTTAGCTTGAGATCATATACAATGTTTTGTCTGGAAATATATCTTGTTTTATTATTTCTAAAACATTATATCCCATATTGTGAAGAATAGATAATCCCTGTATATATATTCTCTAAATATATTGATGTGATGCTCTTTAATTAAAAGGGACATATTTCCTTCTCCATAAATAGCCTATTACAAAATATGCGCTATAATTTATAAATTCAAATTACTATTTTTTAATTTGGCTAACTTTTTTTTATAATAAATAATAATTATAACTTTCCTAATGTATACAAGCCTAACCTTTCATTCCAATGGAATATGTGATCTTAGCGTAGAATAGAATGAATCCAATAAAAACGGCAATTTTTGATATTAAATCTATTTCAATCGGAGTCATAATAATAATATTAACGATTTTTCATTAGAATTTATTTTGAAAAGTCGTTTCAGGTTGTAAAAAAGAATTTTAATATCTATTTAATCTTCTTTTTTTTATTACTAATTCATGTAATAGATTATTACCTTTTAATTTAATTATTGATAAAATTACATATTTAAATAAAGAAAGATAATTCATGTATAATTTAGCCTTCAATATATTTAAATGTAAAATTTATTAAATTTATCCCATAAAATTTTAACGATCTCCTTTATTATTGATAGTTAATTAACCAATTCTTCTTTAATAAATGATTTTTATTTATTACCTTCTTAAATGTGACATTTATTTTCATTTTTTTTAAAATAAAAATTTAGTTTTATTTTTTATAATTTAATTTATATAAAATATAGCAAGATGATATAATTATTCGAAAAATAAATCTTAACGCTAAGATTCTCCTTTGAGGCAAATAACAATTATTTAAATAAATAAAATTTTTATTATATTTTATATAAAATATATAGAATAAAATAAATATTTTAAATTACATTACAAAGATGAAAAAGTCGTTAGATAACATTATGTCACATTTAAAATATTTTTTGAAAGATAAAAATAAAGTATAATAACTTCATATTTTTTTAATGCTTAATTAAAATTAATTTAATATTATTTATTTTTTTATATATTAGATTAAAAGTATCGGAATATCAATAATTTTTTTAAGAAGAATCATGTCTATGGGATTTAGATCTTAATTTTTTAAAAAGCCCCCTTAGAATAATATTTCTTAGAATCTGAATGAACCAAAAATATGGTTCCTATTCTAAATATTTTTTAAATCCGTTTCCTACAATTGTTTTAAAGATAATCTGATTGCCGGGTTTTAGATTTTTTTACGGTTTCGAAAGTTCGGGTTTCAAACTCTGAAATCTGAACCTGTTCATGAAAATATTTTGGTTCCTAGAAATTTGTGGGTTCTGGTTGTTCCTACACTTCTCCAGGTTTCGAGGGTTCCAGTTCTAAATTCTGAACTTATATTATAATAACTATGAATTGGAATATAAAAAAACGATCAATCAATATAAAAGCCTTATATAATAATTGAGAAAGTTGGGCAAAATTTGGCTTACCCGCTCCGTTCGTGTTATAGCTAACTTTTGTTGCCTATTGTTAAGTTAGTTAAATAATAGGGATCTCCATAGGAGAACATCTAGGAAATAGTCATAAAAATGCAAAAAATCAAGTGGTAGGAGTTTGCAAGTGAGATAGCGATTAAAGAAGGAAGAATAATATGTTATCGGTCGCTAAGAAGATAAAGATAGAATGAATTAATTTTTGGCAACTTGACTTATCTATTAATAATGCTTCATTATTAATTTACCCTTTTATTTTTTTTTATCTGTTTCGAAACATGCATTTTTTTTTAAATACTGGGAATGAAAATCTAAACCCAAGAAATAAAATCGCAAGCATTAATTTCCAAACTATACCTCTACTACTTTAATTATTAAACTGAAAAATTTTTTACATAAAAATCTATCATATTAAATGAATTATTATATCAAAATAAAAAAAATTTATATTTATTTCTTTACAACTAAAATTAGGTTTTATGAAAATGAAATGAATGATTACACTAAAATTAAAAAAAATATTTATATTCCATTTTTTTATTTATGCATAGCTTTAAAGGGGGGGGGAGGATGACATGGGGAAAAGCAAATCTATTTCTTTTATTAAAGACTGTCTAAAATAAAAACTAGCAATTTTTGGTTTACACTCAAAAAATCTAATAATAATTCTAGTTCACAACCATTAAAGGCTCTAATAGAAATAGAAAAATTGAGCTTAGGAAATTTTTTGGAACTTGAAAAATGAAAACATTGTTATAGATGAAAAAAAATTGTAGTGTAGAACATCTCTAAAAAAATGCAAGAAATTATTTTAAAAATATCTTGAAAAATATTTTTATAAATATGAACCTTGGTATCCTTTTTTTCTCACTATGTTTAAACCATTCAGGCCTCTATATTATGACCCCTTTGCTTTATTAACCCTTTCTTGCAATTCCATACTTTTTCACTCACTCATCCATATCCTTCGTACTCGTATAACCTTCACGTGTCCTTTCCTCTCAGTATTTTTAAATCATTCAGATTTCTATATTGTGACCCCTTTGCTTCATTTTTAACCCTTTCTTGCAATTCCATACTTTTTTATCTCTCAGGGATATTGTACACATTCATCTCATTGTTCTCAGGTCATAGATTCGCCTCCATTATCTATATCCTTCGTACTCGTATAACCGTTCACATAGCATAAACTATCTCCTTTAACGCAAGGGACACACTCCTATCCCTTGAATCCATCAGTTCTTTGAACGTCTTCCTCCCATGCTTAACCTTCACTATCCAAATTGATATCCCTATGTTATTCAGCACATCTGCAAAGAAACAAACTTCGTCATTACTATTACAAGTTACCTTAAATATAATAAAAATGCCCTTTACTCTCAATTATATAACTTAACAACCCAAAATAATTCTTTCTAATAATATTAAATAAATACCATTGACCATTAACGACGATCCATATTTAACATAATTATCTTTATTTCCAATAAAACCACAACAATCTAACATAAAATATGTAGAAAAATATAACATAATATAATTATCCAATTCTTCATTTCTCAAAGGTCCACAGCTGACATCCAAAGGTCCACAGCTGACATCTAATCCAATATCTCCCAATCTCCAACTACGGGTTTTTCCGAACAATGAAACACACCCCGTGATCCCTATCTCCTCTTCTTCCCCCAAGGAAAACTTAATTTCCCTGTCAGAAAATAACTGACATTTGATGTATTATATTAAATTTATTTCTTCTTTTTTTCAACAGTTACAACACGCCCACCCTTCACAAGCCCAGCGTCCCTCTCTCTGTGGTGTTGTTGTATCGAATCACCTCTTTGAATTGTATCGAATCACCCCTTTGAATTGTATCGAATCTCCTCTTTGAATTGTATCGAATCACCTTTTTGAATTGTATCGAGACGCCTTGAAGACGTTCAGGGAATTTGTCGAATCGTCTTCCCTTATGATGATTTATAATATATAATGACCTGTACATTGGGGTATCTGCATTTATAATCTATGCAACATTAATATGGACAATGTAATATCAGCAAAACATAATAATTCATTCATTTTAAGACATTTGGGAAATATGAGCTATAATACACATTATTTGGATATGATTCATGGTAATTAAGAAATAATGATATTACATATAATAATGTAATGTGAACATATTGTCTGTGTGTGAAATGCAATTTCAACACATGTAATTTTCCTTCTGTCATGTAAAAAAAACAAAGCTACATTTATGTAAATATTTCCTAAAATGAATAGAAAAATCCATCCTTAGGTATTACAAATAATTGCGAAACTCTGCCAAACAAAGATTCTACCTAAAATTACAATATATCCATATACAAATACATTTAATATTTTATATGAAGGAACAAATATAATACGTAGAAAATACAATATTTCCCATCTAGGAATTACTCAGTATCCTAAGAAAAATATACCATTTCTACCTAACTCTGTCATCACAGTTAGCACAAATTCACAAAAATGTAGAATGCAAAATAACAACAATTGAGAATATAATGGGCTATATGGTATATATGTAAAGAATTTTTAATATACCTTCACAATATAAAATAATTTGAGTTTTTCTTTAAAAAATATGTTCATAATTAAATAGTAAAATGTGATGTGCTATAAAATTATTACAAAAATAAAAAAAATGTATTATGCAGCATAAATTTACAAAAAAAATTTACACCAAAAAAAAAACTTTCTCCAGTATGCAAACTAAACAATATTTTCACCTCAAGGCATACCCCTCAACACGGGCTGACCTTATCTGTAAAAATATTTTCCCTTCACATCATTGCATACCACACAAATAATATAATAATTGCAAATAAAACTTCTTATAAAAATTTATAATTTAAAAAAAAAATATATATATTAAATATAAAGATTTCATAATTTGGAAAAAAAAATATTATACACCATCTAATGTATCATACAAATTCCTATCCAATTTATATATACACTAAATGCAGACACTAAATCAAAATAACTATCCACATCTAACATTATAGATATTATTCTGACTTCATCATACTTCAATTCCTTCAAATTCTCATTCATAATTAAATATATCATATGTTACCTATACAATATATTAACATTATACATAATAATTCATAGTTAAATATATCATATGTTACCTATGCAATATATTAACCTTAATTAATAATAAATTATCCCATACATATTCATCCCTTTACAAACCCAAAAAGCATAATTAAATAATACACACTTTATTACAAAAGTCTATATCCATATATATTTTCATAAATTTCACATATTTAAATATTTAACAATCCTTTCTGTCCTGCTGTTCATGAGGTCTTTCAGCTTCCTATGACGGAATACCTATAACACCATTCAATGAGTTTTAAGGCATACCAAATAATGATCAAAATTATATGTACCATATACATCTAGACATAAGATAATATACCAAATATTACTGTCTTAAATTCCTGATCTTATTTCCATATTTCTGCCTAATACTCATTACATACTTTCTATCTTACACCTTTTAAAGTTAAATATAAAAGTATAGAAATTTTTAAACTCAATCCTTAATCTCACTATAGTTTTTTTTTAGTACTTGCGTTGTGATTTCACATTAATCCCTAGATAGATCCGATCCTGGTCATGGCACCAATATTACAAGTTACCTTAAATATAATAAAAATGCCCTTTACTCTCAATTATATAACTTAACAACCCAAAATAATTCTTTCTAATAATATTAAATAAATACCATTGACCATTAACGACGATCCATATTTAACATAATTATCTTTATTTCCAATAAAACCACAACAATCTAACATAAAATATGTAGAAAAATATAACATATCAAAGGTCCACAGCTGACATCCAAAGGTCCACAGCTGACATCCAAAGGTCCACAGCTGACATCCAAAGGTCCACAGCTGACATCTAATCCAATATCTCCCAATCTCCAACTACGGGTTTTTCCGAACAATGAAACACACCCCGTGATCCCTATCTCCTCTTCTTCCCCCAAGGAAAACTTAATTTCCCTGTCAGAAAATAACTGACATTTGATGTATTATATTAAATTTATTTCTTCTTTTTTTCAACAGTTACAACAATTACCTCGATTTTAGATATACAAACCAAACTTGCAAAATTTTTGCCTTACTTATTTTATCTTGGTGTTGTAATTTATTTATCTTGATATAGGTTGTAAATTTTCAAGTTAAATTTTGTGTACTGTATACTTTATCCATATTTTTGAAATATGACGACAGGAAAGAGAAAAGCAGTTAACAATGACATATAATAATGTCATTGGAAATTAATAAAAGAATTCTTTAAAAATATAAGGTTATGTGTAATTATTAAATCTTTTAAGCAAAAAATAAAAAAATTTAACAGGTGCTAATTTGTTCATTTATTAATATTAAGAACATCATATATATTCACATAATCATAAATACTAAACATAGATTCAAAGCAAAACATTCATAATCAATTCATTGGTAACTTCATCTATATGGATGAAGTTCTTTTTTCATGTCATGTTCGGTAGCTAGTTATTAAACCCTTCCCTATCTCCTTTGTCCATTCCAAAACATTATCATGCAATAGTAAAACTTGTGGTCCCAAATTTAACGCTAAAAAGTCCTAGATGATCCCGTTATCGCTTACACGGCAACTAATCACCCTACCCAATTCTGCAACAACCTCTGTCACCAATTGTAAATATGTGGACAGTCCATAAGGCGTTAAACGGGAATGGTTCTTGAACAGTCCGTTATCGCTTAAACCACCATTCATTGTAACCACCACCAATTTACTCCAGTTTCCAAATCCTCCTCCTTATTATCATTAACTTCATAGGTATCTTCACTTGTCCATATCGCTGGGCCTGACTGTCTCATTTTAGATTGAATCTGCTGGGCAACTCCCCTCGAATATCTTCGATGGACCACACCTAATCTAATTTTAATCTGAATAGAGGATTGTAATACGACTATGGCTTCTAGCTCATAGCCTTAATTTTATAATTATATCTTAATTAACCAGGTTTTCTTTTAACAGCATCGATTTTCAACAATATTCATTATTTACCAAGGATCAATTATCCTACTAAACCCAATTTTCATGTAAATGTCACTCTTACCATTAGTATCCACATAAATTCAATTTATTGTAATCAGATTTAATGACATTTCCCCAAATTCAGTCAAATTCTAATAATCTCAATATTTTTCATTTAAGTTCCCATATTTATTAATAATTTTTCGACAACATACATCATCTTAAAATTTTTAAAATTAATATTCATTTATTTAATTATATTTCATTTTACAATAAGGTACAAAATTAATTTTCAATTATACCCATAACATTGTTTTAATTTAGTCATTCACATATTCTATAATAGTATACTTTCTTGTATGTAATTTATTCAAACTATTTTAAATTTAACAAGCATGACCTATATTTCAGTATCACCAATCATTCTTTATTAAGATCGCCATACTATTTTAACAACATAACATTCACATTTCTATGATCCAAAATTTCCATCAATCATTCATATAATCAGGGTTTTCTATTAAGATACCATACCATAATCCATTCACCACAATAACATCTAATTTCCTCATTTATTTATATTATAAACATCATACATATACATTCACATAATCATAAAAAGCATATATTCAATACAATATGTTCACAATCAATTCATTCAGAAACTATAGAATGATTTTTTTTATGTCAATGTTCAATACTAGTCGTTACAATAGTACCTATATATGTATCTTTTGTCAAGAAAATAAAAAAATAATATAATTCTTTTGAAAATAAAGTATCTTCGATACAGATACAAATATCTTATTAAAATAAAGAGACAAAAGCATTAATTGGGATCTCCAGTTTGTTATATTACGGCCTAATTTAAAATTTACATCTTCAGAGCCAAAATCCCTTCAAATGGTAGTGACAACTGGCAAAAGGTAAATATAATTGGTTAAAAAATAAAAAAAATTTTAAAAATATTTGAGCACGTCTTTGAAGAAATTAAATTACTGCTTATTATATTTCACGATAATTTTCATCTAAAATCTGTTAAGGTTATGGTATTGCAAAGCATTACCGATTTATATATCTGGCCATTTTTATGCTTTTTTATATATAATTTCTTAATAGCAGTTAGGTGGGAAACTATCCAATTATTTGTGAACTACATAATTTATTTTGACACCCTTATTGACTGATTAAAAAAAATTTATGTCGTTTAGTTTCAATAAATAAAATCAAATATTTTTATTTTACATAAAAAATTCAATATAAAATTGATAAATTTAGATATATTTTAAAAAAATTTCCAAGGTCCGACCCGACCCGGCCCGAATTTTTTTAAAAAATATTAGGCCCGGCCCGAATTTGATTATTATAAATAAAATTAGACCCGAGGGGCCGGGTACGGGCCGGGCCTAACTTTGCAGATCTCTAGTTGGAACAGATATTATCGATAGTAGGTATTTATTTTTTTAGTACTGGGGGATGGCAAGTGCCGAATTCGTTATTTTAACAGTTTTAATGCACAATGAAAAACTGTCGGATAGGCCTGTTATATGATATTGTCTTTTATAATTTACTTTTTTAACATGAGATCCCATACTGAAAAATCATATCGGATAAATGTAATGTTCAATTGATGGTTTGTTTTGACACATTCTAATGATAGGAATAATTTTTAGTGAAAGACATATCCAGAAAAACCTTAATTATAATATATAAAAAACAATTTACACGATATTTAACAATTTTAGATATATCTTGGAACCAGGTTTCAAAAGGATAAATTAATTATAATCTTGCAACCCTGATCATAAATCACAAAAGTTAGGAAATCAAACGCCATTCAAATTATAACTTCTAATTTTATATGTGATTTAAATTTGTAATAATTCATAATCATTTGCCTAAAAATCACTATTAGTAGAACATGATTGTTAAAAAATTTTATTATAAAAGCTTCGAAAATAAATTTTATTCTCATAAAATTATTTGATACATACAATTATATATCATGAAATTTTTCAAAAATCTGAATTGCTTTAAAACGAGAGTAGAAGATCTCGGAGATATCGATCATAACTCTATAAAATTGGATATACCGGACAGGTATAAATTAAACATTATGCGGTTGTAATTTTACAACAACAAATATCATATATTTAGTTTCCTATACATATTGCATTATTTTTACTTAAGTTTTGCGCTACCATCATTGAATATACATCTCTTTAATAAATTAACATTATATATTGATAAATTTAGCTAAATATTTGGAATCCGATGTCAAGAAAAAAATTATTAAATATTAACAAATAAATATAGGCTCTTTATTTATTCTGTTATTATATATGTTATAGATAGTATTGAACAAAAAAAAATAGGATGTGGAAATTGCTATTGTATTGTATATAGCTGATATTATTTAGCTTTAAAAATCTTTTTCTTGCCTAGACTGTTGTTAGCATTTTATAAGGATTTTTTTACTCGAATATTAATTGTGTCTGATCACGAGACCTTTCATGTTTCCGAAAACCTACTTGTCCTTAAAAAGAATTTCACTGACAAAAATATGAAAATATATATTATATTTTTTGCCAGACTCATAAAACCTTGAGCAAATTGTTCGGCACGAGTTCTAGAAATCATTCGCGACTATTAGAATTTAATATAGGAAAATAATATATTATATATAATGAAACTTTCTTAGATTTTAGATGGATTATCTCACCACATTTATAGCTAATGGATACTATATCCCTATTACTGTTATGGTAAATATGTTAATTTGTTCTATCGCGAGGAACAATTAAATCATTGCTTATATTTGATAACAAAATATAATATATGAAATATTAATATTATATAGTAGCGACATTTGAAAAAAAAAATTTAAGAAAAACGAAATTCTATTAGAGATGAAGGACAGAAGTCTGCTAGCCGCTACTACAACTCCTATTATGATTTTCTAAATTTTATTGACTATTGCTATACCATATTTTATACTTCATAATTATTTTTTCCCAAAAATCAATTTAATAATATAAAACCTAGGTTTTCAATTATATGGCAAATTTAAAAATTCCTTTTCATCAAATTTTATTTTCAAAACTATGAGTTTTATTATATTTTTTTTAATTATTTGAAACACGAATGATGAATAATTTAGGGGATTTTGTTAATTCAACGCAAACTTCTGCAAAAATTGTAAAATATTATGTACATCATTGCTAAGCTAAATGACTAATTTATATATTTCAAATATATAATTTAGATAAAAACTACAAATTACTTAATAAGAAAAATATTAATATTAAATAACTAAAAATTTAAATCACAAAAATTAGGAAATTAAACGCCTTTCGAATTATTCCTTCTAATTTCATATGTGATTTAAATTTGTAATAATTCATAATCATTTGCCTAGCAATCATTATAAATAGAATTTGATTGTTAAAAATTTTATTATAAAAGCTTCGAAAATATATTTTATTCTCATTATAAAATTATTTGCTACAATTATTTATGAAATTTTTCAAAAATCTGAATTGCTTTAAGACGACGGTAGAAGATACCGGATATATCGATATGCATGACTATACAAAATTGCATGAGAGGTATAAAATTAAACATTATGCTGTTGTAATATTAAAACAACAAATATCATCTATTAAGTATCTCATACATATTGTATTACTTTAACTTAAACTTTGCGCTACCATCATTGAATATACATCTCTTTAAATTAACATTATATATTGATAAATTTAGCTTTATACTTGGAATTCGATCTCAAGAAAAAAATATTAAACATTAACAAATAAATATAGGCCCTTTATTTATTCTGTTATTATATATGCCATAGATACGATTGAGCAAAAATAATATAAAAAATAGGGTGTGGAAACTGTCTTTGTATTGTATATAGCTGATATTATTAAGCTTTTAAAAAATCTTTTTCTTGCTTAGGCTGTTGTTAGCATTTTAAAAGGATTGATTACTCAAATATTAATTGTTTCTGATCATGAGACCTTTTATGTTCCCGAGAACCTATTTGTCCTTAAAAAGAATTTCACTAACAACAATATGGAAAGAAATATTATCAAAATAAATGAAATTCAAATATAAATAAAAAATTAATTTTCATTAAAGAAAGTAGAATAATTTATAATCCAAACAATTTTCTCTTATGATCTTTCTAAAGGTGTGACCTTCTAGATAAGATCTTCACACTAGGGGCCTGTAAATAATTGGTTGGGTTATCAGTTCTTAAATATTACATCAGCCATTATATTTCTTTGTCCTATACGTAAAACCTTGAACAAATTTTCATGCACGACTTTTAGAGATCACTTGCGACAATTAAAATTTAATAAAGGGTAATAATATTTTATATATGATGAAACTTTCTTCATGGTTTAAGATGGATAAATTTTCTCCAACTACATTTATAGCTAATGGATACTATATACCTATTAGTGTTAATGGTAAATATAATTAATTTGTTCTACCGTGACGAACAATTTAATTATTGCTTATATTTGGTAACAAATATTTAAAATTTTAATATTATATAATTCTGACATTTGAACTAAAATTTTATGCGGAATTCTATTAGAAATAAGCTAGGGCCGAAAGCTTGCTAGAAGGACTACGACAACTTCTATTATGATTTTCTAAATTATATTGAATCTATAGCATTACCATATTTTATATTTCATAATTATAACAAAAATTATGAAATC